AGGGGGTGTGCAGGAGGCAGTCAATCAATGATTCTCTCTCATCATTGATGTTTCTATTTCTCTCTCCCATTCCCTTCCTCTCTGAAATCAATAAAAATATATTTTTTTAAAATGTAGATAACAGGACTCTGTCAGTTTACTGTGCTTTAGAACAGTGGCTATGGGTGCACTGTAACTATTATTAATTAATCATGATAAATCGTTATTGTCTTTACACACATACATTTATTTATTTTGGAAAAATACCAAAAGAGGAATTTATGAATGAAGGGCTATAGATACACTTTTCCAGACTAATCTATAAAATGGATGTGGTAACCTGTTCTCCTGTAGTAGAACCTAAGAGTGCTGGTTCTGCCCACCTGGTGTGGCTCAGTGTTGAGCATCGACCTATGAACCAGGAGGTCATGGTTCAATTCCTGGTCAGGGCACATGCCGGGGTTGCAGGCTTGAGCCACAGCTGGAGCTGTGCAGAAGGCAGCCAATCGATGAAGTTTCTCTCTCATTGGTGTGTCTATCTCTCTATCCTCTTCCTTCCTCTCTAAATATCAATAAAAACATATTTTTTAAAAAAACAACAAAAAGAGTGCTGGTTCTCACAAAAAGGGAAAGGTTATCATCATCACTGTATCAGCCTCATCTTTACCATTACCTTGCTTCATGCCTCAGGTTGTGCAGTCTTGTGTTTGATATCCCTAAAATCAGAATGCATCTAACCATATTGTCAGCCAGAGGCTGCCATGACATGGTAGTACGAAACCTTCTGTTGACAGCTGCTAAGATCAAGAAAGGATGTCAGTGTGTCTAAATGCCTATGAAATTCAGTCTTATTCGAGAGATATGAAGAGATATAAGTGGATGTCATAGAATTTATATAATGCTCTTTTCAGAGAGCATCTCAGATTGGGTCTCAGAAATGTACCTGAAGGCCTGAGATATCTGGGCTGGGCTTGGAAGACTGGGGAGGACAGATGGAGGGAGAGGACATGTTTAATATCTTTACTCTACTTATTTTTTATACTTCCTTCTTGTTGCATGTGGTTAAGAGAGATAATAATGGCCATGATGCAATAGCGTAGAAGCCCAAGAAGGCGTTCATAGACATTTGCTATTTAAAGGCCTTTTGGCAGTTGCATGTATCATACTCTCTGAATGTAATACCTCCTGCAGCCTCCCTCCCCTGTTAGTGCCCCCTCTTTGTAGGTACAAATCCTCACCCTTTACTTAAATATGACACACTCTGCTTTTAAGTCCAAGCTTAGACATTGTTTTACCTGGGAAGCTTTTCCCAACTCACCAGCGCTGGTTAAGTGTCATTTCCATGGTTTCAGTCGCCCCTTGTCCATATCCTTACCTGACTGCTTATCCCAGGCTGTCTTACTGCCTAGTAACTTGATGCCATTGCCACTAAGCTGTAAGGTTGTAGAAGCAGGCGCTCTCTCGTTCTCCTATCAACTCTAGGCCTAGTACCATGGCTGGCACACGACAGGTACTCAAGAGTTACCAACTGAGTGAATTTCAGCGCCCAGCCCACGGATGCAACCTGTGGTGACTGCCATAGGGCTGCAGGGGGAGAGGAACCAGTGCTCTACAAGGTGTCACTAAGGGTTGTAGCGGGGACTGTAGTATAAAATTCCTTTTATTGCCAAGTTATTATGAGAGCTTAATAGAGCGAGCTGTCCGTGCTCACGTCTGAGACCCTTATGAAGCATCTCCTGACACATCTGCAGGAGTCTGGGCACACCGCATCCGACAGCCCACTTCTAGCTGTTAGCACAGTAAGAGCTGAAAATGAGTCATCGCTCTCTTACTTGCATTTGGGTTTTTTCAATTTAATCTGAATCAAAATCTTGTTCATTTACCTTTTGCTTTTATGATATTCAAGCTACTTCAATGTTAACTACATTTTCTTAAGTGGTCAGTGACCAACCCAGTCACTTTTTCTTGAGAAGCAAAACACTTCCCCTTTGAGATCAGAGTGAGATGTTAAGTAAAATAAATCAGATGATTTGAGTTCAGATTCTTTCAAGACTGCCTTTCCAGGCACAGTACTTGAACTCAGGGTAATTGGTTAAGCTTGGTGCCAAACATAAGGAAGCCATTCTGCCTATTGTGTAGGAACCAGGGAAGAAAGCTGGCTTTTGTGTGATGAACCGTGTCACTCACTGGGATCCGTTGAAAAATGGATGCGTTGACATGGTTAAATATGACAAATGAAGAAAGGAAGGAAGTCACAGTGATGCCTTAATTCAAGCCAGGCTTCTGTGTCCCACTCTTCCACTTCTTGACTGTTTGTCTGTAAACTTCTGTATGTGGGTTTCCCCCCAGCATAGCCCCTGTGGGTGACCAGTGAATACATTGTGAGGCCCATATATGAGGGGCATTTTAGGGAAACACAGCCCCCATGTATCAGGGGCCTTTAGGAAAATACAGCCCGAGGGGAGAAGCTGTCACTTCAAAGCATACCACAGTGCTTAGATAGAGCCAGGAAATTCACCATGTCTGCATGATAATATTCCTTTAAAAGCCCGAAACCCTTTCTTTTATGCTGCTAGTTATCAATCCCTGCTATATGCTTGCTTCTATCATGAGATATATTTAGGCTTTTCATTTTTGTTTTTGAATTGAATCCCAAGAAAATAGAACTGGTCTCTCTCTGCCTGGCTGTTCTGCTGGGCGAGAAGCAGTTGAATGGGATGTGGAAATGGGTCAGAGGAGAGGAGAGACCAGCTCTGACCCCTGCACCTCCTTCCTGCCACTCACCTGTTGTTGTCAAACATCCTGTAAAACACATGGGCTCGGCCCACGCTTACACAGTGTCACCGTGGGGAAGCAGCACTCTAACTCATCATGATTTTTTAATGCCTTTGACATCATCTTGGTGCCCTTATGAAGGTAATTTTGTTAGCTAAAATTATTTTGTGTGTCAATCAATTAATCCTCTATTATACATAAGGGGAGAAAGTAGGTATTTAGTATCTGACACTCCTGGAAGTTGAGAGGATATGGGAACTTGGAGAGGGTTTAGCAAAGAAAATGAGTGAAATTGAATAAACTTTAAAAAAATAAGTGAAAGTATTGGGACTATAGTATCTAGTCTAGCTAGAGCAAGATCAAGGATGCATTCATATTCCAGGGATAAGATCATTTATAATATAGAGAACATTGGTGAACTGTCTGTACTGTAAGGACAGGAGAAAAAGGGATCAAATTACAGGATAGAGGATTTGACTTACGTGGAATGAAGATTTTTTCCTTACTTGTAACATCAATGGGCCAGGGAACACATTATAAAATACTATGGAATTCATTTTAGTGGACCTTAAAAACAGGATAGATTCTCCCTGGGATCACTGAGAGGATGTAAAGGAACATACAGGTAATTAAAAAAAAATCCTAGATTGAAAGAGTTAGAATTGAAAAAGAAATTTCTTTATCCTTATCCATAAGCAATAAAAGAAACAATTCATATGAATAACAATTAGGCTTAAATCTCATCTTGGAAAGACCACCTAATCTTATTTTCTGAAAGAACATTGTGAGTTCTTAGGTAATTGCTTTCTTGATCTGCTTTAGGCTCAAGAATTCTCTCTCATTGTTTTTAATTGTGTTAAAGTATGTTTGCTAAAGTACTAATGAGACCAAAGCCATACTGATTAAAAACAGAATTATTCAATTCAACCTTTTGATAGTATGGAATGAAAGGTAGGTTCTCATATTGGAAGATGAATCCTGTATGTCTAATTTGCCATGTGCCTAATTTTCGTTTGTTTTCTTCCTCAATAGTTCATTTCAGGCCTGTTGAAGTTATAACATTTTTATGAAATGAAACTTTTTTTTTCCATAAAAGCAATTTATCTTAAGAGCTCTAGGCAGGGTGCATCTTCCCTTGTGATTTTTATAGCATCTAATTAATAAATAAATGCACGACTGGCTAGGCAATGCATATGAAGAGTAGGTTTTGCTTATCATCACCCTTTATAATTTTTAGACTGTTTGGGGTTGAGGTTTTTTTCCCTTCCCCGCTCCCCTTTTCCTACTCATTGACTTGAATTATAGCCACTCTTCCTTTTCTTTGCAACTGTACTTTTAAATCTATCTTTCAAAAGTTTTTTTCTGCCTTTGGCTTACCTGGTTTCATGTGCCTATTTATTTCGTTATTTGCTGTCGATTTTCTGTTTCATTGTTGTCTTATTTTTAAAATAAGTCAATGAATTTAAACATTTTAGTCAAAAATTTCCCTGCCTTTTCTGCTTATGTCCCAGTCACACATATTTTGATAGATACTTTGAAAACAGATCAGCTTGGAGAGAGCTCAGCTCAGACCCAGAGCAGGGCCAGTCCACTCCTCCACTCTGCCTGTGGGTCCCCTCTTGGTCTTCATGATCACACACTGAGTTCAGGCCCCTCGCTGACCTGACCTCCTGCCATTCCTCTCGCCTGGTACTCCTGCCTCTCACTGTCAGCTCCTTCCTGCCCTTTCCTTACACCGTGGCCAGTGACCTTACTAGGAGCCATATCCGCAGTGTTCCTCGTTGCTTAAAATCCTTTACTACCACTTCCTTGTCCAAAAGATGCAATCCAACTTCTTAGTGTGCATAAACGCCCTGTATGAGCCGACCATTGACCATTCATTCCCACCTGCCTGGCCAGCCTCGTCTCCATCCTCCCCACCTCACACACGCACCCTCCCCTAGCCAACCACTCTCACACCAAACTCCACACTCAGAGGCAGGGAACAGGCTGAGCAAGGCATGGAGTTGGAACAGGTAGCTGAGCTTCAGCAGTGGAGTGATGGGAAGTGGTGCACCTAGTGCTGAGCATCAGTGTGTGAGGCATTGCCCTGGGTGGGTGCTGGGGCCCTGACGCCCAGCTAAGGAATGGCGGTGGAGGGGTCATTAAGCCGTTTTCTCTGAGAGAGAGAGGAAAGCTGGTTCTGAAGAGGTTGCCATTACCCTGCCCACCCTCTGATGCCCTCGTGTTTCTTTCCCCAACCTCAGCCTGCGATGGCGATCACTGGGGGCCGCACTGCAGCAGCCGGTGCCAGTGCAAAAACAGGGCCCTGTGCAACCCCATCACGGGGGCCTGCCACTGCACCGCGGGCTTCCGGGGCTGGCGCTGCGAGGAGCGCTGCGAGCAGGAGGAGCGCTGCGAGCAGGGCACCTACGGGAACGACTGTCACCAGAGATGCCAGTGCCAGAACGGAGCCACCTGCGACCACGCCACAGGAGAGTGCCGCTGCCCGCCCGGGTACACCGGAGCCTTGTAAGTGACAGACCCCTACCTGCACTCATGCTGCCGCTGCCATCTTATTCCTGTGCTTCTGTTTCTGTTGCTGCCTGTGGAGTCACTGAGAGGGCAGGCGTCCAGGCACAGAGGTGGGATCAGCAGTGATGGCCACCAGGTGATCCTGCTGTTTGACCCTTGAGCACCAGAGCCCAGCAGAGTCTCAGGGCCAGTTTCCATGCTTTGCTCTGAGCAGGACAAGGATAGAGCAGGCCAGGATGTTGGGCTGGATGGCCAGTTGGGGGTTGCTGGGGCAGAGTTGAAGTTCCGCTTTGATTCTCCCACAGTCACATTCCTTTTACACCACTGGTGCTAATGGTCCACGTTTTCCTGTTCCGTGTGGCAAATTAATTAGCTGGATAGAACCGGATGGGTTCAGTGCCTTAGAAAAGAGGAAAGGGAGAAGTTGTTAGAAATAGCCCAGGATAAAAGGAGAACTGGGTTAATTAATGCCCATAGATACATATGTTGATTTGTGAATATAAAAGTCTATGTATCACGTCTGTATAGGATGGTTAACTGCTTCCGGAGAACAACGAAGCAACTACTTAGCCTCCACTTTCTTTTGTGGGAAGGACATTTCTTCGCTTTGTACAGATGGTCCCCCCCAACTTAACAATGCTCCAACTTAACGATTTTCAAATTTAGGATCGTGTGAAGCGAGACACATTCAGTAGAAACCACACTGTGAATATTTTGAATTTTGATCTTCTCTGGGACTGCTGATATGCTGTGATAGTCTCTAGTGACGCTGGGCAGTGGCGCTGAGCCACAGCTCCCCGATCACGAGGGCAACCTCTGGTACTAGAGCATGTTCATTGTGTTAGGTGATTTTGCCCAACTGAAGGCTAATGGAAGTGTTCTGAGCACATGTAAGGTAGGCTGCGCAAGCTATATTGTCCGGTAGGTTAGGTATATTAACTGCATTTTGAAGTTATGTTTTCAATTCACGATGGGTTTATTGGGATGTAATCTCATTGTGAGTTGAGCATCTGTGATAGCAAACAGAGTAAGAGGCAGAATTTGCCAAAAAAAAAGTAGGAGATGGAAAAATCTTGTTCCCTTACTGAGAAAATTATACTTGTAAATCATAGAACTAGAACTTGGGGGAAAATGGGGCTGATTAGGTAAATACTTCCCGCTGACAGTATTGGGGCTATAAAGTAGAGCTAGAGAAAAAGTGCATTAGCCTAGAAAGCCCTAATTTTCAGAAGAATGAATGACCATCCCAAATGATTTAATTGTTAATATTGCTTCTATGGGTTTTTATTAAGGCCACAATTGAATAGGGCTTTGGAAACTTGGAGCAGTTTCACCAGAGAGAAAAAATGACAAAGGCTTAGAGAAGAAGGTTGGTTCACACAATATGGCACAGGAGGTTAAAGGCATGGAAACCGGTCCATCTGAAGGAGAGGGTGCTGAAAATTGTTTATGAAAAATATGTGCACAGAGTGGAGATGTACAAACATTTCAATCTCCTTTAAGGTTAGAACAAATGCACAAACAAAAGTAGATTTCCAATGTAGCTTGTGGGCTTTATGAAAGTTACATGGAAAGTTCCTGACACCAGGAGTGCTTTGCCAACCCGAGTCATTCTTGGCGCACTCAGAGAGGACAGATTGGCTTCATCAGACAGTACCCTAAAACAAAAGGAAGGACCAGGTGACCCCTCAAAGACACTTCCAGCCAATATGATCAACGCTCTCAGTGTTAATGAAACGAACAATGTTGAACAGAGAAACTGGTCTATTTTAGGACTCTGGGTGCTGTTGTGTCTGTGAACCTAAGGGCCGTGTGGTGGAATAAATAATGGTACCCTTTGTCACCCATTAATCCCTCAGCTGTGAGGATCTTTGTCCCCCTGGCAAGCATGGTCCACAGTGTGAGCAGAGATGCCCCTGCCAGAATGGAGGAGTGTGTCATCACGTCACTGGGGAATGCTCCTGTCCTCCTGGCTGGCTGGTAAGCTCCCTTCCTCCCTCCAAAAGTCACCTGCTTCAGGATACTCAGGTGAAAACGCACGTGGAGGACTTTAGCACAAAATAAAGTTACACTCATGGTTAAAGATTCCAAAACTGGAAATACCCAACTACTTCAAAGCTGGAATGCTTCAGTCCAAAGATGGCAGAGGGTGATTCAATCCTGAACTTGAAGTGCAGTAAGGGCCCTCATGGAAAAGATAGTAGGCCATCTGTCCTGCATTTCCCCTCAGGATATAAAAGGGAAACATCTCATCTTACATGTGGCAGCCAGAGCTGTTAAACACTGTACATACTTAAATAATCATTTTCATAATTATGTTCTGTTGATCACTATTGTTCTTTGAGACTGTTATTTTCAACAGAATAAGTGTTATATGAAAAAGTTATCTAGTCATATCAATCTGGAGATACTTTCAGGGAAACCAAATTTCCCAAGTGTTGCAGAACTCTTTAGAGCAGTGATGGCGAACCTATGACACGCGTGTCAGAGGTGACACGCAAACTCATTTTTTGGGTTGATTTTTCTTTGTTAAATGGCATTTAAATATATAAAATAAATATCAAAAATATAAATCTTTGTTTTACTATGGTTGCAAATATCAAAAAATTTCTATATGTGACACGGCACCAGAGTTAGGTTAGGGTTTTTCAAAATGCTGACACGCCGAGCTCAAAAGGTTCGCCATCACTGCTTTAGAGCCTTTAGTATCATAATCCAAGAGGAAGCTATAACCTACCACAATTGCCATACTTTGACCATGATACTCTTTCTTTATGTGGCATCACACAATCTTAATGTGATGTGCGATGCACAATGTCAAAACAGGCTTACTAGCTAGATTTCTCTGAAATGAGGAAATAACATTGGTTCTTATTCCTCTGAGTTGGTTTGTGCATAAGTCTGCTGGAAGGCAGAAGAGTGAATGACCAATGTCTGCTTCCTTTATTAGCAAACAAAAAATAAAAGAGCAATTTATTTCATGATCATTTTCTATCCCCATAAGGGTGGGAAGCTGCTCTTGTATAGTGAAATGACTTCTTAATTGCCAAATCCATTCTCATTCCACTCTTCTATTCTCATTAGCTTCACTTCTCCAAAGCTTTTGACACTGCTTCTCATCCACTTCCCTTTGTTAATCTCTTTTTCCTCCATTTCCCTGATAACCCTCTCTCCTACCTCTCACTAAAGATCTCCTTTCCTAATCCTTCTCCTCATACAGATCACTTTACTGTATTATTCTCTAAGTTTCAGTCTTGTCCTTCTTCTCTGTTCTTGGTATAAGTCTCTGAAAATCTCATCCAGACCCATGGCTTTGACAATCATATACTGATTTTCCCAAATCTTAACTTGCCTAGACACGTGTCTATCACTATCCTGTTAGACACACCAACCTAGATTACTATGTATGAAGCCACCGTCTCTCTAGGTGATGCCCAAGCTGGAGGCTTAGGAGCCAGACATGGGATGGAGTTGCTTTGGTATTACCCTTGTTGTGGGCATGGAGCAAAGGAGAACTGGAGTCTAGTTCCCAGGAAAGTCATGGGAAGTAAGAGGTCAAGATGTTCAGACCACTGGGACAGGTGGAAACCAAATACCAGACCCAAGGTGAGAGTTAGAAATGGTAAGCAGGCAAGACAAGGTTTGATTCTGGAGGCAGAGCCTGGAGAAGTTCCATGAAGTGGTAAAGTGAGAGTGAGGAGCCTTTTATTGGGCACTGATGATAAGGTGGACAAGGGATCATGGAAGGAGCACTGAGGTGGTTCAAGCAGGCCCATCAAAGTCAATATTAACAAAACCAAATTTGTACACCCAAGCCTTTCTTAAGCCTACTCCTCTTCTACTTTAAGAAAAAAATCTTAGTTAAAACCAGTGTTTCTCTTAGTGGCCCAAGGTAGAAATGTTGATTATCTGTGAATTATCTTTGACTCTTTATCTTCTTTTACTTCTTATATCTAGCCTTTTGTCAATACTGGTCATTGCTTTGTCCTTGGTAGGGGAAGGATTTTGCTGGAGAGAACTATGTGTTCTTTGAATGAGAAGCTATAGATTTTATACTCCTGGGACTTTTGTTAGACATCAAATGTTGAGTTGCTTCATCTGAGATTGAAGCTTTCTCCTTGGTTGGAGTGGACATGATGGGGTATAGTGGTAACCACAGGCTCTGACTGTGAGTCCCACCCAGTAGGTGGGCAGGTGGCCGTCTCCATCAGCCCAGTGGAGCCTCCTCTACACTCTGGGCCCCCTTCAGGTCATCTTTCTCTGTGTGTAGTTGAGCTTCCATCTTATAATTCTTTTTTAAACATTTTATTTGTGCTATCATCCTTTTATTTGTGCTATCATCCTAGGTGCCTTTCAAAGATGAATATACCTTCCTATTACACACACACATATATATGTCAACCAGAATTAATGTCCTACTTAAAGCTGTTTGCCCACATTAATCCTTACTCATAAACAACATTTCAACAGCATTTCTGAAGCTTATGTGGGATTGTTACAAGCTGAGTAGTTAGAGTAAGTCCCTGAGAGAGTAGAATTGTCACCAGAACCCCTGCTTCCCACAGATTGATCCTTTGTGTATTATTCCTTCAGTCATGTTTATACGTTGTGCTCATGGAGGGATTAGAGTTATTTTTACATCTGTCCCCCTCACCACATTGTCAGTTAATAAGGGTTGTGACCTTATCTTTGATTCTCAGAGTTCAAGTGCTGTGCCTGGCACATGATGATTCCCAGTTAGGCATTGATTTGAATAATCTCTCAAAGGTTTTTTTGGTTCCAAGAGTCTGTGGAAGAACTTTCTCTGTTTGTAGGTAGATAGAAACCACCAGAGGAGACTTAATTAGCACACCAACTGCCTTTGTGGGTAGCCAAGAGTTAGAGGAAATATATTTTCTTATGCTCTCCAGAATAAACATTTACAAAACCATCTGGTGCTCACTAGCCTCCAATTTCAGAGTGCCCACAGTCTGCCTTTTTTTTTTTTTTTTTGAGAGAGAGAGAGAGAAGGAGAACAAAACAACAGCTTCCAACAGTTAAAAACATTTTAAAAATTCCTGTAATTTGCAATATGTTGTTTGCTCCAACAAAACCCCAATAAACAGATAAGCTATAAGGCCAAGTGAAGTAGAAAATAGTAGAGTACTTCCTAGATTTATTGGTACAGTATCTTATTCTTTTCCACATAGAATAGGAATAAATATGACAAGATGGACAGCCTCTAGGGTGAGGACACATGTCCAAGTTACTCTTGATTTTTCTTACTAGGAAATAAGGTTTCCTATTGATCTTGGCCCAGCAATGTTTGTTGAACCTGCTGAAAATAGAAGTGTTTTTCTTCTGAAATAAAATGTCTAGGTTCATTCTTTTAGACATATTTCTAAGGTGATGTTATTGTTAATTCAGGTACACAAACTTTCAGTCTTATGTTATGCTACATTACAAGAAAGAAAGCCAATGATAATGTGTATTTTCTCCAGAACATATGGTAAAGCACTTGGATATTTCATTTGCACCAGATGTTGCTGTTTATGTAATGGATGCTCAATAAGTATTGTTGACTTATTGTACTTGTAAGACACAAGGAAGAACACTTAGAAGGATTTATAAATTCCATAGGTTACCATAATAATTTGATGTGACTCTATCTTAAGCTTTAGTTTTGTAATATGGGTGGGTATTTCTTCAGAATACTATTCTGCCACCTTTGAATGTGTTTTGAGATTTAGGCTTGTTGAGTAAATAAGTCAGTTTAAATTTTCTAACATTTTTTAAGATGAATCTGTGTTCTAAAATCCCCTAAATTTCTTGCAGCTCTGTTCCCATATCCCTCCTTCCCTTTCTGTTTCCTCTCTTTCCTCCCTCCGTCCTCCTTTGGCCCTTCCCTGGCTGGAGGCCCATCTAATTTCCCAAGTCTCTTTGAATGCAGGGCACAGTGTGTGGTCAGCCTTGCCCCGAGGGTCGCTTTGGAAAGAACTGTTCACAAGAATGTCAGTGCCATAATGGAGGGTCGTGTGATGCCGCCACAGGCCAATGTCATTGCAGTCCAGGATACACGGGGGAACGGTAAGGGACAGTCTTGTATTTGTTTGTAATGGTGTGAGAGGAGAAAGCGTCCAGCGAACGCCTCCATTACTGTGTGTCTGTGACTGTTCTATAATATTCCAGAGCACATACCAGGTATCAGAGGGTTTGACACATTCTTTCCCAGCTCAGTGCATAGGAACTGAATCATAGATGGCAATGGGGAATTGAAGAAACAGAGAAAGCATCAGAAATAAAAATATCAGCCATTCATAACTTATGATGAATATGTCATTCTAAACAGATGAGTGCTTAGGACAGCCACTTTAAGCAAAAAACTTTTTACCTTGTAAACAATTTTGGATAGGTTTATTTTTAAATGGGATGTGTACTTAGGTATATTTTAAAAATATGTTGGACATAATGTTACCTCCTATGATTCAGAATTGTATTAAGGATATCAGTCATTTTCTTGTGCTCCAGTGACAGAGTAAGATGTGATGGGACTTATAGCGCTCCCTGATCCCACGTGGTATCCTGGAAAGCAGGGTAATCAAGCTCATTGGATATTTATGTAAAATCAGAGAAAAGAGACTTGAGAAGCAAAAGAGTATAATGCCTGAAAACAAAGATTTTGGAACCTGTGTCCTCATCTATAATGTTCAAATAATAATTATACGTTCCTCTAAGATTATTATAAGAGTTAAACAAGGACATTGAAGCATTTAGAACTGTGCTGAAACAGGAATATTAACTATTATTATAGTTGAGTGATTTCTATGAACTGTTTAAATCCTAGTGATTTCAATTTGAGTAATGTTAGGACTGTACTAATATTACCTATCTTTTTTTTTAATCCTCACCTGAGCATATGCTTATTGATTTTAGAGAGGGGAGAAAGGAGAGAGAGAGAGAAACATCAGTGTGAAAGAGAAATATCAATTGGTTGCCTTCTGTATGTGCCCTGACCAGGAATCAAACCTGCAACCTTTTGGTATACGAGAGGATACTACAACTAACTTAGCCACACCAGCCAGGGCAAGCTATCATTATTTTTTTGATGGTTTCTGTGAACTAAGAATTCTTTCAACCTCCTTCCTTAAATCTTTTTCTTTTTAAAAGCCTGATATAATTTTATGACTTTTAATAAGATACTGTAGGGTGTTTTCCCCCCAGTTAGACTCTCTACTTCCTTGTTAAATTTATTACTAAGCTTTTTCTAATTTTTGAAAAATCCAATTCCAGTTTCTAATTGGGCATTTTTGGATAAAGGAAAACTTACTTTTGAATACAGGATGGGGCAAAAGTAGATTTATAGTTGTGAGTACATGAAATGCAGTTTATTCTTATATTATTATTTATTAATTATTTTCCATACAAACAACTGTAAACCTGCATTTACCCCACCCTATATTTACTTCTGCCAATCTTTTTCATTAACTGTTATTTTTAGCAAATGCTAAAATTTTTTTATCATCTACAGATAAAGATAAGTCAGTCTCTTCTTTTCAATATATAATGACTATTTCATTTTCTTGAATTATTGCATTAATTAAAACCTTTAAATCAGTGTTGACAAAAAGAGGTAAAAATGGGCATTCCCCTTTTGTTCCTAATTTTATTGGCAATGGCTTCAGTATAGTTTCATGTTTGTCATTGGTTCTTAGAAAACTCTTTCATCCTCAAGTGGGCTTTTAAATCCCTATTTTTCTTAGGAACTTTGTTAGTAGTATATGTTTAATTTCATTAAGGGCTTTTCCATATTTTGTTAACATAAGTAATGCATTTTTTCTTTAATTGTTTGATGCTATGCCTTGCTGACACCTTTAGTGCCTGGTTTGTATGACATGTAATTAGGCTACTTGGTACATTTTTGTGACCTGCATCCTGGGTTGTGGTTATATTCTGAAGAGAGGAGGTTGCTAGATGAGTTCTGGATCCATGTGTCACTAACATCTTATTATAGAAAGATGTGTCCGGAAAGGAGAGGCGCAGGACCAAGCAGAATCCTAAATACAAGTTAATGCAGTATTTTAGTGCACTAAACCTTTAAATGTAATTGTTTTTTGCCCTCTAGGGATTCAAGTCTTAAATCCGAGGCAACACAAAAACAACAAACACATAAGGCAGGCTTATATTCATCTTATTTGGGATACAAGGAAAGGGAATGGCAGCTCATTTTCAGGTGAATTTTAGACTTGAAGCAAGAAAGGCGAAGAGCCAGAGAAAGAGAAGGAAACTGAAGAGGGGACTTGCTTCTTGAGTTGTTGTTCTTGTAACTATTATTATTATTTTTTTTGATGAACTGATGGCGTGACCTCTGTTTTCAATTAGTCTATACCCATCTGGTTTCTAGAGTACACACACACACACACACACACACACACACACTCACACACACGCAGTGAGGACAAGCACATTAGTCATATGAAAGGAAAACAATGTGTGGCTACGGGGCAGTATGTGGCGGAAGGTGTAAGGAAAGGGCATAGGGTCTCTTGCTATTTCCCCTGTGCTGAGCAGTCAGCAGTAACTTGATGACTGAGGTTAGGCCAGAGGCTGCCTGGAGGAGCAGGTACCACCACATGCGTTGCCAGCCAAGCATTAGCAGGATGTGGGAGCAGCTTTCCCAGCCAGAGGGCAAACAGGAAAACAAAACAGGCACCTTGGGGCAGGCAGAGCTGCTCCTGTAATAGGCTTGGGGATGTGTGGAGAGGTGGAGAGGATATTATCATAAGGGAAATGTACAGTGTCACAGCCAAGCAAGAGTAAGGAGAAGTTGGTTCCTAGATCCTCCCAAAAATTCTTCTGAAGGGGTTAAAAGAGTGTTTTTAATGCTAATGGTTGTCTGGGAATCTCTGAGGCCTTTGATGGCCTCGCTGGGGTCTGTGCACATCATGGGTGCTCCCTAATGTCAGCTGGACGGACAGATTTGTGGATCAATTTTTGACTCTGTTCAGATGCAAACTGAGACTGTCCTGCCACGCCTATGTCCATATTGCCCTCGAAGCGAAGAAGAATGTGTGAGAAAGGAGGTCAGAAATTATAAACAGAAATTGGGGGGATGCAGCTTGCTCTTCCGCAGAGGAACCCTGTCCTCTACCTGGGGCTGTGGGAAGTGGGCTCTTTCGCAGCGCTTTGTATATGTTCTCCCGAGAAGTTTGAAAGGCAGGAGCCTGATTCATCCATCCAGGCTTAGTGAGGAATGTGATTCTTTCACTATATCATCGTTTGGCCCAGTTATTCCAGTCATTCTGGGAGGGACATGCTCAAAAGGACAGGGAGACAAGGAAGCTGCCACCCCTTCTATGCCAACTCACTTTCTTTTCCACAAGTTCACAGTGAGATGCAATATCATTATCGAAATGGTATTAATCCTGTGACCCTCATTGGTTTGGGAATTGATATCATGCTGTATCAGTTTATCTCTATTTATTGCTTCCCTATTTTTCCTAATTCCTGGGAGTTATTCAAAATCTTAAAAATATATATAGAAACTCTAAATATCCATATTTCTACTGTGGCCAATATTTATTGCTCTATTTTTATCCACCTCTCTGTCATCTCTCCTAAGAAAATGTATTTCCAGTTTTCCTGATTCCTAAGATAGCTTTTCTTGTTCCACTTGGTACCACAAAAGCAACAGTAGGGGCATTAAATTAGCTGGGAAATGATGCTACTTTTTCATAAAGGGGCCAAAAAGGGGAGATAAGAATGCTTGCAAAAGACTTTTACATTCAGCCAATCAGAAAGGTAGAAGCTACTTCGTGATCGTGTTTATTTTCAAGATGGAAAATGTCTACTTCTAGACATTTGGAAGATGGAAATGGGCATAACTATTATTAACAGAATTCTCCTACAAGTGCAATGTTGACAGAAAAGAAGTGGGAATATGAACCAAGCTTTACGTCCTGGCTACTTTAGGAAGTAAAATTCAAATGGCTTTTTGCCATTTATAACACAAACTAGTAGTATATTTAATTATAGGTTAGAAAGATAAATATGGCCAGGACCAGCTATTATGAATATTGTTTTCCCAGAGAAAAGGAAGTCTCTGCCAAGACATGATAAAATATACACACTGCTTCCCTGTCATTTGGTAGTTGACGCTTTTCCAGGCCTCGGATCTCTACCCGGTCCACCCACTTGAAGAGCTGTGCTTTCTCCTAAGTTACAATCACGCAGCCCAGCGCTTACCATTCGGGTTTGTTTTCAAATCCACACAAGAGGGAGAAACCCTTTTACATCTCTTTTTCTTGTTGGTACTAACTTGCAACGAAACCTGGACAGACAGGTTGCAAAGTTGTCTTACTAGCATTTAGCAGAGCCATGATGGGGCTAAATGATAGGACCTCAGTATTTCGTTCTCTGAAGTTTACATCTTTAAGAAATAAACTAAGTGATGTCACTTATTAAAGCTTCTTACTAGTTAAAAATAGAATACCTTTTAAAAATGCTCTGGTCTAACAATAGGTTAACGCTTGTGTAACTTTAAAGCACATGTCTGATTTTATGTTAAATGCTAGTGCAATTACTCGGGAATTTACCAAATAATTTGTTGAGCAGTTGATTCGAAGACTTTGCCTATTAACACACACACCTAAAGATGTCTAGAGTCTGTGAAACCCAGTTTGCAAGAGGCTCTTTTCCTTGTCTCTATCCCATTAAATATATGCAAGAGCCAGAGTTAACCAGAAAAGTATCAAAGGATTCTCAAGATTTATCCTTTACATTTAAATAGAATTCCTGCCCAGCCCTGGTTTTGTTAGTAACCACACCCTATCATTAAACATATGCAGTCGTGTGGGAAATGTTGGCTTTTCAGCCACTTTGCTGTTGCTTTTCAGTATGCTTCAATGTGTTTTGCACTTGCTGTTCACATTATACCCATCTGAACAGTGCAGTGCTGACCTACATTTTAGACTCGGGCCTGGCACGGCATGGGAAGCGGCTGCTGAGACTCCCAGTGCTACCCCGCTTGTGGCGAGTGCTTGGCTAGACGAGACTCCGTCTCCCTTTCCCTTGGCTAAAAGCACTCCTTCTGCTGCAGAGAGCTCCATCCAGTCACCTTGCCAGGTCGAAAGGAGGCTTGGCTGGCCAGGAACTGGTCCTGCTCTCTCTGGAGCAATGAGTGTTCTCTTCGCTATCACGATTCCCTCCAACAACTCCGCTTCCCCCTGATCCAGCTTCCCAGAGCATGTCCTTCCTCTGGGACTGAGCTCTAATGTTATTTTTTCAAAAGGTCAGTGAAGAGATTTTTAAAAAATATTTTTTTATTGATTTCAAAGAGGAAGGGAGAGGGAAAGAGAGATAGAAACATCAATGATGAGAAAGAATCATTGATCAGTTGCCTCCTGCACACCCCCTACTGGGCATGTGCCCTGCCTGGGGATCGAACCTTGACCTCTGGTTCATAGGTGGTCGCTCCACCACTGAGCCTCTCAGGCCAAACAATAAAGTGAACTTTTGAGGTCTGATATTTTTTCCTTGCCATTTGGCAGCCCTTCTCCCCAACAGAAGACAATAACTTGTTTAATAAATATTTTGCGTTAGGGATCTCCACAGCTTCCTACAACCTGCCTGCTTCTGCTCCCAGGGTAGAATCGAGAACATCTGATTTCAGTACCTCACACCTCCCAGATCTAAAGAGGACTTTGTTTATTAGTTACATAGCTTTAATTGCATGGCTGAGATTAAAAATTAATGTCAATGTGAAAGCCAACAGAATTAAAATTTAGTTTAGAATCTGCTGCAGTTTTTTCTTTGGGACCAGGAAACACGTGTTTTATTTCCTGATTACAGACTGGGACTAACATTTGGACAGTTTCTTTTCTCCCTTTCTTGGTATCTACTAGAATGTTACATGTACCTTTGGCAAGCACTATGTATAAAACATGCTTCATGTCCCAAGTTCATTATTTTATTTACGTTATTTCTTTTATCAGTTCATATTGCTGTTACTACTGCTTGTAGTCAGAGTAATTCACTTAATGCTCTTCATACCTGTAAAGGGGTAACCACTCAATAAATACCAAGTCCAAAAAGTAATTTCAGTTTATACATAACAAAGTCTGACTGTTTCACAAGGTACTAACCAGTCTACCTTCCGCTTCCACCTTCTGCCTGACAGGTGCCAGGACCAGTGCCCTGTGGGCAGGTATGGAGTGCGCTGTGCGGAGACCTGCCAGTGTGTCAACGGGGGGAAATGCTACCACGTGAGCGGCTCCTGCCTCTGTGAAGCGGGCTTTTCTGGCGAACACTGCGAGGCGCGCCTGTGTCCTGACGGGCTCTACGGCATCAGATGTGACAAGCGCTGCCCCTGCCACCTGGACAACACTCATAGGTGAGGGCCCGTTGCCCCTGGAAGGACATGGCCACTATTTGAAAGGAGAGATTGGCAGAGAGATTCCCACCCCAAGACCGTTCCTGCCTCTGAGTTGTCCTGGGCACGAACCACTGAGTGAATGGAAGACTTTTGTGCTTGGTGGGAGGTGGTCTACATCAGAAGTGCTAACACCCTCAGATGGTTGTGGGTGGATAGCAAATCCTATTCTGTACTAATGGTGACTAGCAAAAATTAAACTTGCTGAGGTTAATGGAACGTTTCCCTGAGAGAGGGATTCTGTGACATTCCTTGAGCAGCAAAGATGCAATGAGAGATATGGGTTAAGCCAGTTTAGTATGTAAAAGTCTCACAAAGTGATTCTCACGGTAACATCTTTTGCTTGGCAGAAAGAACATCTGTGTAGAGAGGAAGTGTACCGGTGGACGTTTTTGTGAAAGTGCTTCACATGTGGCTGTCACATGTGAAATATGTTTTCAGAATTGATTACCCTGACATAGAAACTCACAGGGGTCTCTTAGCTCAAAAATCTCTCGAAGAATTTAAGAACAGGAAACCATGATCCCACCCACCCCACTGTACCTTGTCTACCCCTGAAAATATCTTTCCACCCCCCGACTTCCTCTTCCTTCCCCAAGGACCAGATACATATCACTTAGAATTCTGGGTTTCATTTGTAAACTGCTGGGAAAGTTGAGTTTGACCAAAATGTTGTGCATTATACAGCAGCTCAGACGTTACAAGAATTACTTTATTTGCATTCAGCACAGCTGTTCTTTCATTCATGTTTCTAAAAGATAGCTCGTGGCCACATCAGATCTCAAATGCACAAAAGTTAAAAGTAAACACAAGCCTGTGGTTGGTCTCTTTTTTAAACCATTGTTTGGAATTTTAAAAAATGGACTTTTGCATTGTATGCATGTGTGTGTGTACGTGTTTGTGCGCAAGTGCGTGTGCACATACCCACATGCTGGCATACATTTCAGTGGGGCACATCAACGAAATACATTCTTAAGATCTCAAGCAACGTTGTGAGCTACTTGAGTCAACTTTTGGTTTTCTTTATTGGAAAATCCTGCCACTCTTTACATGACAAGGCTAAACAAACATTGGGGAGTAAAAATAAATAATCTCTACAGGATTTTGTTTGTTTTTAACCTTTCCAATATTTAAGGGGCTGGCAGAATTTAGGGACAAGTCATGAGTTTGGCTACCTTTCCTGCAGAAAGCTTGTCCCAGCAAAGGTAAGCCACATGTAGTGACAGTTAAGAGTTTTTTAATGCCAGTGTGCCATTTCATTGTGTGTAGACACAGCCTGAAATCAAATAGATTACTAAACCTATACAAAGGAGCTCCGCTAGGAGAAGAATTGGAAGAGCAGATAAAATGTTGGTTTTATTGTTGGGGACCATGTTAGCAGTGGCAAGTGCAATTGGACAGTTAATAGGTAGTATTTGCATTTCACTTATATTTGCATATAAGCTACAGCAGGGTATGCCTACACATCATTTTTTCACATGGATTCGGCAAATTTAAGTTTTGCTTTTTGGAACTTTCTGGGGGTTTTTTTTCTAAATATTTTTGATCTGCGCTTGATTGCATCCTGAATGCAAAACCATGGACAAGGAGGACCAATTGTACATAAAATTATTTGACAATCACAGATCAAAAGAACACAAAAACTGGTCTAATAAAGCATAACAATCAGAAGTTTAAAAAACAAATAGCCTGTGAAGTACTTTCCTAATAATAAAAGCTACTTTTAAAAATTAGCTTTTACAGATTTCTAGTAAAACCATTTGAATGTTGATTATATAACTGTATCATGTTGAATTCACAAGTGGAGCCAGGCGTCTGATTTTTATATCTTGAACTTCTATGTAAAATTCCTAGAAACATATGGTTCCTTTGAACTAAAAGCCATAGGATATTTTTATCATTTGAAAGACAAGCTTGTTCATTTTACCATTTAATCACGCAAGTGGAGCTTTCTGTTACATAATTTATTATGTGTATTTTAAAACCTTTCATTATAATTAATGAGTTAACTAATACAATGCAAACTATTAGTTTACCTTGTCTATTGGTAAATTTGGAGTTATAAGGACATACATATTGACATATATTGCAGTCGTACTAGTATATTTGGGTAGGGGTTTGTATCAGCATTTGCTGCATTAAAAATAAAATCCTATCCCAAATTTAGTGATATAAAACGATTATTTATAAGCTGGTGACTTTTTTTTTTTGGCATGACTACTTGTGCTGGGCTCAGCTTAGTGGTTCTTTTGTTGGTCTCCCTATGTTCAGTTGGCAGATCAACTAGAGCCTGATTGGGCTGGAATTCTTCACTTACATAGCTAACATTTGATGGGTGAGAGGGGTGGCTGACCCTATGTCTCCAGCATCTAGCAGGTTAGCCTGGGCTTCTCTATATGGTGACAAGCAGCAAGACACAGCCGCAAGCTCCAATGTGCAAACATTTTGCAAACATTTGGTTACGGCATGTTTGCTAATATTCCTTTAGACAAAGCAGGTCACACAACCAAGTCCAGATTCAGTACATTCTACCTCTTGATGGGCAGAGTTGTAGCCATTTTTATTTTGCCATTTATCATATGGTTCAAATGAATTTAAATATATTCATTCATGATACTAGCATTTAGAATTACAGTACTGTTATAGAGCCTAAAGACAGTCACTGTGGCCTGGCCTTTCCACTGAAAACTAACTTTGATGTTGGGAATGATTTTGACCTCTTGGTAACAATACCAATTGATAAAAATAAAATGATAAATGATTATATGTGAAAATAAAACTTGAGATTTAGTAAGATTCCACATGAGATATTTATATTAGCTCTTCTTAATAAAGACGTTTAATAGCTGTGGGCAATCAGGATGTGCCTATTTGCAATTGCCACCTGATTATATTTGAACATTAATAACATCTAAGGAAATGAATAAAAGGAAACTCTAGAACTCATTCTATTTTAGCCAATATTATATTGGGCTTATCATAATTTAACTCTTAAACTGAAAATTTTACTAGAAGATGGGTATATAGTTGTATATGTGTATAAAATGATAGGTGTTCCTATATGTGTATAATCCTATTTTCACAAACACAAAGCAAGCTGTTCTATAGACAGAGACCAGATAGGAGTTTACCACCCTTCAGCCTCGAATCGGCTGCTCTCACATCAACACGTAAATCTATCTCATTACCAATTAAGCTGCCTGCACAAGAACACATCAAACGCCTGCCAAGTGCTCTGGCTTCCTATACCTAATTACAAATTGCAGAATACTAATTTGGGTGTCAATCAATCCAAGAACCAGTGCGCTGCACTAATACTCACTGGGGGGCATTGAATATCAATTTCTCTGTCTGCCTCTAGCTTAGTTCAATTTCCTGTCCCCAAATTATCTGTTTTGTTTAACATTTATGTCTATACCATGAAATTTATTTTCTTCGTTTTAATGTAAAGTAATATTTTCCACGAGAAGATATCCTTTTTTATAGTATGGTTAGATAAGGTAAACTACTTTAACCAATCCATTTCCCAAACTATTTATTTTCCTCTTCTCAGATGTAGGACCTGACTGAACTAAATTTAAGTTGTCCCTGCTTTTTGCACAACACAGGCTTTTATTGGTCCTGCTAACATTTGATCTATGCTCTATCCTAAGTAATAGCAATTCTTTTTTCATATCTAGCTTTCTTAGCAGACTGCTATCAAAGTTCCTTTTTCTTTGGTATAAAAACAAATAACTAAAGTGGGTTTGAGTTTGATTCTGCCACTACCTGTATGAGACTTTGAATGAAGTATTTACTCTTTCTAGGTCCCTGTTCCCTCATTTATAAAATGGGATTACACCCAATACTTAGGATGATTGTAAGGATTAAATGAAATAATGCACATGGGTTGCTGAGCATGGTGTGAGCACACATCAGTGCAGTCCACGCTGGCTGCTAGTCTGTGCATTCACTTACAGTATCATCATTAATGTCACATTGAGTCCCTCTAAGCCATGACTTTGACGTTTTAAAAACTAATTGTAGGGGAAATCTTGCCTTTCTATTTCCAATATAGAGATTACAATTTAACATTGCCAATGACTCAGAGATTAGAGAGAAGCAGATTCGTTTGGGAACCCAAGATCCCTGAGTCAGGCCCTACTACACAGAAACAGTGACATTTTCACTTAATCATTATATATTGTGGGCCTGCTGTGCACCAGGGACAAGTAACAAAACACACCTGCCCTCATGGAGCTCAAAGTGTAGAGGGGAAGGAAGACATTGAAAGATTGTAAAAATAAACCCAAGATTATAGACTGTGGTGAGTAGATGAGGAGAAAGAGCAGGATGCTATGAAAGAGAATGACAGGAGAGACCTGTTTTAAATGAGAGTTGTCAGAAAATGTCCCTGTAAGGAAGATATACTATTTAAGCTTGGACTGGGCGGGGAAGATGGAGAGAGCTAGGCCGAGTGGGAAACAGCATTCTAGGCAGATGGAATATAGCCCATGTGAGGCCCTTGAGTTGAAAAATCTCAACGCTTTTTTCCCCACACACCCTAAAATCCATTACAACTGAGCATAGTAATCGAAATGAAAGAAGAGGTTGGGAAGTAGGCGATGGCCAGATGATGAGGGCCTAAGGGCTTTATGTAGGGTGACCCTGTATCTGGTGTCTCAAGGACCATCTGGTTTAGGCTTGTTGTCCTAATGTCAGTAACTGCCTTTTTCACTCTAAAAATGACCTGGTGTTAACAATTAAGGCCTGTGACAGATGCCTAGGCCTTTGCTTGTGGGAATTTAGTTGTAATAGGGGCCTAAAAGTACAACTAAATAAATTTATGAAAATGGGAGCAAACTGTCCAACCTACAAGGGTGTGGCTGAGACCCTCACTTGACAGATGAGGACGTCAGGCCCAGAGAAGTTGTGTGCTTTCCCTTCGTTTACCCAGGTAGTGGGACAGCTGGGATTCCTCCCTCCGTCTTCATCCATCCCAGAGAATCATTCTTTCCAAGAGTAGAAGATCTGTGAACAGTCCTCCAAGAGAGGTCCTTTAGCAAACGTCTGGAGGCCACAGTGGATTTTGTTGTTGACCCTACGTAGGGGGAGGGTTTTCTCTCTGGAGAGGATGCCCATCTTTAACAGTCTTCCATTGTGAGCAGAGCTAGTTCCATTGTTAAGATTTTCCTTGCTGAGAGGCACATGTGTTTCGAGTGTCACAGAGTGCCCTATTGTGTCCAGCTCAGAAAGGCGTGCATCCTAGCACAGCTGATGTATCCATTTGCTGTGGGGCGACAGCTGGCTGCCTGGCCCATCAGTGTGGCTGCTGTTACAGGTAGAGACAGCTGCACCACCACCACCAGGTATGGGGAGCTTAGAGAAGAAACAGGCTGAAAAGATTGCAGCTTCTGGAGTTCCTCGGACATCACCCCTGGTTAACTGATCAGGTACCATTCCTTGGATGGAGTCCTTTAGATCTTCTCATCGTGTTAACCTTTTATTGAATCGGTGCTTTTGATTTATGAAAACTAAAATGAGTTCCAGACCAAAGGACACAGTAGAGGTAGTCATCCTCCTAGAGCATGATGCTGATCCCATGCAACATTTCTGTAGGACCCACCAGGTAGAGCCGATGAATTAAATCACACCAAGCCTGGGAAGGAAGTGTACATTATTGCATATGGAATTGCCCACGTGATGAGTGATCACGACTAACGCAGCGTTTGCATGGGCCTTGGGTGTCGCGTTTCCCTGAAAGTGACTTGCTCCTCTTATCCGTGCTCTCAGCTGTCACCCCATGTCTGGAGAGTGTGCCTGCAAGCCAGGCTGGTCAGGCCTCTACTGTAACGAGACATGCTCTCCTGGATTCTATGGGGAAGCTTGCCAGCAGATCTGCAGCTGCCAGAACGGGGCTGACTGTGACAGTGTGACTGGAAAGTGCACCTGTGCCCCGGGATTCAAAGTAAGTGGCTCGGCTCTGGAGGCGGGAGACAAGGGTGTGCTGTGGCTCGTATCGGTACCATGATTTATGTGACCTTTTCTGAAGTACAGTGAACATGCTAAGATCAATCCCATCATTAACAAGATAAAGCATGAAAACTAGTAAGGAGCGACACAAGGAATTGCCTTAGAATGATGACTGGGAAAGCCGGTAGAACTATAAATGTGGCATCAATCGTTAATTAATTAATATATGTCAGGAAGTCTGCTGTATTGTAGTTATTCCTTACGTAATTATTTTACTGTTGTATAGGCAGTATAAAATTAGTTTTCCAAGTGGGATATGTATTGTTGTCAACAGTTTTTGTCTTAATTCCATGTATTTCCATGTGATGGTTAGTAGTACGTAAGTTTTTTGGTCCCTTTGGGAGTCTAGAACTTACAGAAATGCCTATGTATGCCAAAAGAGCAGAATTTTGCCTACTCGCTAAGGTTTTTTAGCTATGGATCAGGAATCTTTGTTTTAAAGGAAAATGGGTCGTTTTTGAATTATTTCTCCCATTTTAAAGAGAACATTAAACTCTGAAGGATGTTGATGATTATTCCAGAGAATTTCATGCAGAACAAGAGAATCATAAACTCTCTGAGCTGAGAGATCTTTACAGGGTTTTCTAACCTATGACACAGTCCTTTGGTTGAGCCCTTGAATCCGCCTTGTGTTAAAGAGTCCTTTCTGTGGTTTTTGTTGTTGTTGTTTGGTGTTTTTTTTTGTTTTGTTTTGTTTTTTGGTGAATCCTCACCTGAGGATGTTTTTCCATTGATTTTTAGGGAGAGTGGGAGAGAGAGGGAAAGACAGAGAGAAACATCAGTGTGAGAGAAACACATCGATTGGTTGGTTGCCTCCTACACGAGCCCCGACCAGGGCCCAGGCCAAGGAGGAGCCTGTACGTGCCCTTGACCAGAATCAAACCCTGGAGCCTCTGTCCACAGGCCGACACTCTCTCCACTGAGCCAAACTGGCTAGGACAGTCCCTTCTGTTTTGAAAGGAGGTCACCTCCAGTCACCTCTGTTAACCGTCGTCTAGGTTTAAGGCTCGCTGTCAGATAACAAATTGAATCATGTGGGCTGTTCCTTTGCTGCGCCCACTAATCATGTTATATATTTATCATACAAGGAATTCTAGGAAGCATTGCGATTTAATGTATAGCTCATATTTATGTTTATTTGTTGACAGTAATTTTACAGCTGCAGTTTATTGTGATATAGCTACTTGTCTGAGCAAGGACAAAAGGTTTTATATTTGCTACCAAGGAAACTAATGAAGGCAGCAGGCTTTTGGGGATGTTATTCAACACTGTATCATAAACATGGGCCAGCTAGCATTGCCCTTGACTCTCTAAATTTGTACGGTGGTGACATTATAGCAACTTTGTAATATACAATGTGTTAAAATTGGAGCAGGGGTATAATTAGCATCACCAAGATATATTTTTGTTTATTTGTGCTGGCCTTATTTCAGTGGGTAGAGTTGCATGCATTTTCCTGTTTGCGCCTGTCTAGGGAACTGACTGCTCTGCGCCGTGCCCTCCGGGAACCTACGGGGTCAACTGTTCCTCTCTCTGTGGCTGTAAGAACGATGCTGTCTGCTCTCCTGTGGACGGCTCGTGTACTTGCAAGGCAGGTAAGTGGGTGAAAGAGTCTGTTTTCTGATCCTGGTCCTTTTATCTCCTAAAGTCACAGGAATGAAACCTTAACGAGGGTTCTAGGTCCAGCTGTGCCAAAATTCAGTGCCTGATCTCAACAAGCCCTTCAGCCAGGGGTTCTCCTGCTTTCGTGAGTGGAGTGGGGAGGCTCACAGATGATCTCTGATGAGTCAGGGAAGAGGCTCAGGCATAGGAGATGATCTCAGCTCCAAAAGTCTGTGAGTCTCTGCACTTTGGAGATGCCTAAGCCAAGCAGACATGTGTCCATGCGCCTAAGTTCACTGACCTGGAGTCATGATGAGAAATGCAGCCAAGCACCCATTTCACGTGAGGGCCAGCATGTGTCTATTCAGAGTTCCTGCAGCAGTTAGGACCCTAGGTACTCAGTGCTCATGGTTAAGGGGGTCCTGCATTAAAGACAAGGTTGTTCTTTCAAATGCAAACCTTCCTTTCCCCTCCCATGTAAGTATTTCACTTTTCTAACCGGAACAAAACTCGGCATCACTCTGCATTCAAGCGGCCCCCACGCCGTGTCTCCTCCCCCTTTAGCCCAGGAGTGCTTCTCGTGTTGCCCTCTGTGTGACGGATCACACACCCATGTGGCTGTTCGGGGGCTTTTGTCCATTTCTGTGCTGGGGCTGGGACACTGCTGTGCTTCTCTAAGATGCTTCTAAAGGGAACATGGCTGGGAAAGGCTTGGCAGGACGCCCTGCTGCCTTTGTTTCCTCACGTGCTCTGGCCTTCTTGTCATGGCAGGCTGGCACGGGGTGGACTGCTCCATCCGCTGTCCCAGTGGCACATGGGGCTTTGGCTGTAACTTGACGTGCCAGTGCCTCAACGGCGGAGCCTGCAACACCCTGGATGGGACGTGCACGTGCGCACCTGGATGGCGCGGGTTGAAATGTGAACTTCCCTGCCAGGTACGACCAACCAGTACCCCCGCTGGGAACGCCTGGGAGCCCATGCCAGAGGATTAGCCTCTTTTTGCAGTTTTTTTTTAAGTATCTGAGTGCAGACCAAATCTTAGTAACTATTAGAAGAATTAAGGTACTTGAACTTAAAATGGATATAGGAGTAGACATGAAATTGATTAGCTTTGTAAGAATCATTTTCTTCTTTTCCTTCATCCCAGGTTCTCCTAATCGCCACCCCCCCACCCCCCGCCGCCTCCACCTCCCCGTTAATTTTGTTGTTGTTGTTCTTATACGCCCATCTCTTCCTGGCAGCCAATCAATAGCATTTGCCCAACACTCAGTGTATGCCTGTCAACTCTCCAAATACTGTGTTTCCATTGTAATGGGAAACCTTCAGCATTTGGGGAGGAAAGTGGCAGGGAACTGAAGGGGGTGGTGATGGTGTCACAGAAGTGCTCATTGAGGTGGTAAAAGAAGGTTTGGAAATGGCCATTTTTTAGTGTAAATATTTCTGGAGTCACAAGAATCCCCAAAGGTTTCCCTAGTTCAACACTGACTCTTCCCTTGACCAGCTTTGGAGACATATACATCACTAGACGTTCCCCACTGTGTCGGTCACCACAGACTGACAGAGGGTGCAAACGGAAAGTGGGTGCATTCTCTAGTAACTTGCTGATTTCCCTTTCTTCCTGAATGATGCACAGGCTGCTTCTCTCCCTCTTTTCCATCATTCTTTCTTCCCTTCACAATTCTTTTCTCCTGAGCTGTTAAGCGTTCTCTCCGTGGTGTGTGTTCTCTGCCTCCGGGAGGACAACTGATAGGGGGATGACACTGTGACCCCTGAACACAGCCCCTCAAGAAGGGCCTTTCCCAGGCTTTCTCCGCGTTAAGCAACCCATTTCCCAAAGCAGAGAGGGTCTGCCCTGGGCGCGCTCATGCCCCGCCAACCCTTAGGACAAAGTTAAGTCAGCTTTGCTGCCTCTCAGCCTCCAGTGCTCTCGGATGGGCGTGGAGATCGCCTTTTATTCCCAGTTCAGTTGTGGACAAAACAGAGCCTCTGGCACAATCCTGTCCTTCTTTTGTATATTAGATGCAAGGCCTATGGTTTGGTGGCCCATATGGTAGCAGGGCTAAATCCCATGTAACCCCATAAAACAGTGGGGCCTAAAAAGTGGTTTATTTCTTTTATTTTAATAAGTTTAACAATCTGGACAAATGATTCTGCCATCTAACACCCACTGCCTGTTTCATGCTGGCTCTCAGGTTCTCTCTCTTGGTAATTATGCACCCTTGCTCTTTCCTTTTCTTCTCTTTTTGTTGCTTTTCTGCTTAATATTTTTAATTGATTCTTAGAGAGAGAGGAAGGGAGAGGGAGTGAGAGCTAAACATCAATCTGCTGCCTCCTGCATGCCCCCTACTGGGGATCTGACCGGGAATCAAACTGGCAACCTTCCAGTGCACAGAACAACGCCCAACCAACTGAGCCACAGCGGCCGGGGCCACCCACGCTTTCCTTAGTGCTGGACGGTGTGGGAGGCTTGTAGTGCTCTCCCTTAGTTCATCAGGGCCTGGCATGAAGGGCAGAGCTTGTCAATGCACAGATTCCCACAAACTAAATGATCGCATCCACATGTCCGTTGGACCCCTCAAACTGACATGCCTGTGAGAACACAGAGGTCTGGGAGGGGACGAGCAGGAGGGCGTGCCAACTCGTACCTCATCCTCCCAGAATCCTGACTCAGAACACTTCATCTCATCTAGACTCTTTCATCGAAAGGAGGATATTAACTAGGAAAAATAACAGAAGACTTTCATTTTTCTTTATAACTCCACATATCCCATTGGCAACTTATGGGAAAAACTTAACTAGAGCTATAATACTTTTTAAAATTTTGGAGCTTCTCTAAGTGGGTCAGGCTCCTTCTTTTCCACCTAAGAATAGAATGCCTTGAAGAGAACATTGAACTATTTTATAAAAATTATTAGGAGCAAAAGAAACTATGTTTACAAGTTGTGGTTTATGATAAGAAAAAATATTATTTTAATTAGTTGGCATATTTACATACATCTGCATATATGCATATCAGCATCTTAGTATTATTGATTTCACCATTCATATGTCCCAACCGTATGTCAGACATAAACTAAGGTGTGAGGGACTTTAAAACACTGACCTCCTGGAGCCCCTATTTTGGGGGCCAAGAAGGCATGGAAAGAGGTGTTTATAATGCATGTAGCTGAGGGGTATTGGGACTGTGGCCCCTTTGTCTCCCGTTGTCTGTTTTCCCTGTCCTCATTGCTGTCTCCCATGCAGGACGGCACGTATGGGCTGAACTGTGCAGAGCGCTGTGACTGCAGCCACGCAGACGGCTGCCACCCCACCACGGGCCACTGCCGCTGCCTCCCCGGATGGTCAGGTGAGAGCCCAGGAAATGGGAAACGTGCCAATCTATGCCCAGCGCTGCTCCTTGCTATTTCAAAGACACACACACAGGTCAACTGTACAGAAGGAATGAAAATAGAGTTGTCTCCAGTAAGCTGACACATTTTTACCCAAGAAACATTACTATTAGGCCTAATGAACCTGTAATCCAAAAAGGACTTTTTGTTGAACTGGACAGGACAGTTCTCCTGAGCCTGCATGGAAGGTCCAGCGGTCAGAATTCAGGCGGCCAGAGGGGAGAAGTGTGAATTGCTTTGAAGCGTTTAGCAAGACCTCTGTGGTATTTTGGAGCATTGAGGAAAGAATGATTAAAATAAACCATAGGAATGTAATTGAGCTCACCTTACCGAGACAGAAATATTAAATATTAACATGGTCAATATGCAAATGTTAAAATATTCATTACTAGAATTTGAAAGTTTTAAAACGTAGTTTTTCTTATAATAATGTTTGTCATAAAAATTCATAATATGGTTGAATACCAATTTTCTAACCAAATTTCTCCTTATTTATATCACTTCATGGTTTCAGCCAGGAAGTTTAACAGACTAACAGGGGTCTTAAAAGAAGAATGGTTTTCGCTCATGATGTACAGACGTGGAAGATGGCACTAAATGCCCAAACAAATTGGGATCATGTTCTTTTTTATACACCAATTCAAGCCTATACTAAAAAACAAAATAAACAAACTTTTAAGTACGTTTTAAGAAACAGTATGACTGGCAACGCAATAGGACAGTTATTAAACATTGGGATGAACGAACTGAGCAATTGATGACCATTCTGCTGAAAGTAAAATAAAATGTTGATTGCTGATTTGCCAATTTAAAGTGAAACCTTGTTGTACTAGGGACTGGGTTAGAGGTAGATAAATGAACCAGAACTTCTTTTTAAAATTAACTTCCCTTTGAAGCCATTTGTGTTTGAGTGTGTATTTGGGTGTGTGTGTATGTATGTATTT